AGGGTGTCTCACACAATCCCTCTAAACTTTAAAATTTTCTCACAGAACACCCTTACATGAAATTTGCAAATAACTACAATTTTTTTAGAGTAATTTAGTGGCGAGTGTATGTTGCCTTAAATGACAATTAATAAAGCTTAAAAAATTTTACTCAAAGATATTTTTGTTATTTACAAATTACAGACAGAGGGGTTAGGTGAGATAAGGTAAAGATTTTAGGCGGGGGTTGGGGTTAGGAGACATCCCATAATTCAGGGGGTTTATGTGAGATAAATAAAGTTTAGGGGCGTAATGTGCAACACCCCCCAAAGCTCAGGTGGTTTTGTGAAATTAACCCTAGAAAAAACATAAACCCAACATAAATAATCAAAGTATTTGACCAAGTGTAATACACGTGTATTCTAACTAGTCATATCATATATACTCCTTTAAAAGCATGAGTTTGAGAAAAACTTTTCATAGTCAATATTACCATTCACTATTTTGAATATTTATTTAAATATTAATATATCCTAATCATAACTATATCTCATCCTAATCTCACGTGAACTATCTATAATTCAATAATTTTAAAAATAATATTAATAAAATATATAAAATAGCTTTACTGTAGTAGTTTGTTAATGCAAAGAAGTTATACGAAGTTAAAGAAAAAAAAATCTTATGTAAAGACTCTCTACATGAAATCATGGATCAATTTTGGAAGTATTATAAAAAAACCTAAAAAGTTTTAAAATTTTATAAAATACCCTAAAAAGTCTAAAAGTATAAAAATATATCTTGACGTTAAAATTTACAATTAACACCTTAACATCTCTAAAATTATATAAACACCCTCAAAAGTTCAAATTACAAATAGCCACCCTAAAATTCTAAAATTTTAAAACTTACAAACAATATAGATAAATTCAAGAGATTACCCTCAGGAACTTGAAAATTTAAAATTTGCTAAAATTAGGCTCAAAGTTATAAAAATTACACGAAAAAACTCCTTCAAAATTTAAAAATTACAATAAACTTTAATATTTCAAAATTTATAACCGGTACACATTAAATCTAGAAACTATTGAAAGACCACTAAAATATGAATTTTTTAAAAATAACCCAAAGTTTTAACAATTATAAAAAACACCCTCAAAATTTTAGAGTTGCAAGAAATATCTTAACATTTAAAAATTATCACCAACACATAAAACTTAGAAGTCACAACTACCAAACTTAAAAGTATTTTTTTAAAAAACACTCTCAATGTTTTTTAAATTACAAATCACACCCTCAAAGTTTAAAAACCACAAAAAATGTCTAAAGTTTTAAAACTTAGCAAAGAAAAGTGTAATTTTTTTGGTATTCCTTCATTAATATATATATGTATATTTAATTTCTAATTTAGTGTTTACTATTCCCCTTTCAGCATGTAAAATAGTCTAAGTTGATGTTGATAAATAAAGACAATAAGAATTGATTAAAAACATCCTGTTAAGGAATAAAATTTTTAAAAATATATGGTATGTTAAACAATATCATCACTATATAAATCAAAGTAAATGTATATAATTTTACAAATATATTAAAGCAGTAAAAATACATAAGTAAAGTTAATTGATAGAAGTTTAAATCCATAAAAATGAGAAAAAACTATAATATAATAGCTTAGCATTAATTGATTATGATTTAGAGATATTAACATTTGATGTTAGTAATATTTATAGGGTAAAAGAATACAAAGAGTTATGTATAGAAAAACTATTAGAATGTTCAGAGATATCATTCAAAAGAATCAAGCTATTTTCATTACAAACGGGAAAGTGATGGAAATAAATCTATAATTAGGAAAACATCAATAAATCACTTGAATTGATATTAATATAAGGCATATAATATTTATAGGGTAAAAGAATACAAAGAATTATGTATGGAAAAACTATTAGAATGTTCAGAGATATCATTCAAAAGAATCAAGCTATTTTCATTACAAAGGGGAAAGTGATGGAAATAAATCTATAATTAGGAAAACGTCAATGAATCACTTGAATTGATATTAATATAAGGCATATCTATTAAAAAAGCACCCACTGAGTTCTATTGAAGAATAATTTAACAACATTATCCTAATCAAAGAAGAATTCTCCATGGAAGATAAGAAAAATTAATAAGTATTCATAAAGTTCATACTTTGTTCTTTAAGTACTAAAGAAATTAATTATTAATATTATAATCTAAGGCAAACTAGGAATGAAAAATAAAAGTATTTAGTTCAAATCTTTGTGGAAGACAAGGATAGAGCAAATGTAACATTATTGACGTAGCAGAAATTCTTATTGGATGCACATCAGAAAATTTTATTTTAGAGAAAAAAAGAACTAGCTCCTAATATTATTTAAGTAATAAATTAGGACTACAAAGGATTTCATATATATGAAATTAACATTTATTCTTATTGAAATAGGAAAAAACCAAAGGCTGTTTTCAAGAAATTCGTGTCCAACATTAGAAATACATTCAACTTTTTTGTGAAGTTAAATGAGAAAATAAAAGATTAATGAGCCTAAGAAAGATAACAACGCAAAAAATACTGCTCCAGCATGATGTCACAATCGATATAGATGATAAAGACACTACTCTAGCATTGCCTAGGAAAAATATAAAGATGAAAAAATATTGATCTCAGCTCAATAAAAAAATAAAACAGAAGAAATTAAAGAAATGTTTTCTGAATATTTTAAATAATGGTTTTAATTATTTTGAGTGCAATTATGAATCTTTAGAAGGGAGTTTCATGAACTTTTCCCAATATTTTTAGATGCTTATGTGGATGCTTGTATCATATAAAAGTATACTAGAGTTAGCATTAATCTTTGTTTATAATTTTTTATGAAGTTTATTAATGATTAGGAACAAACTTCCTATTCTTTTTTGTATCTTTTAGCATATTTTTAATCAATCATCTTGCCTTATTGGTTTTTAAATATTCATCTTTTTATTATTTGCATGTCGGTACTTTCACCTATTTGTTGTTTTTACTAGAGAGATAGTGACTGTGATGGTGAAATATGTCATAGCATGGTGTTTGGTGCTTAGTAGGTTTGACAATCCGGGTTTCACCTTGGACTGTAGCCTTGTGTGAACCCTGTGGCGTCACACTTGTATAATACTATTTTAATATTTTTTACTTTTTGCAACACTGTACTTTCTCAAGTAAAGCTTAGTTTCATGTTAGTCTAAGTAATATGAAAATTCAAATTAGCTTCATATAATATTTGTTGTCTATCAATTCAATTATCAACATGAAAATTTATGTTGGGCGTAGCCTATTTAAATAAACATCAAAGAAAATAAATAATCACGATGTTAAAGTTTAGAGATAAAAGTGAGCAAAAACTATTAAAGCGGAAGTGAACAACAAATTTTAGTTAGGAAACAAGCCAAAAATACATAATCATGGTATTTAACCACGTGCACTGTACGTGTATAAAACCTAGTAATATCATTAATATACAAGATTATAAAACCAAAATTAAAAATTTGCAAAGAGAAACTGTTTACCATTTATTGGATGTAATGTAACAAACATGAACTACCTAAAAGTAACTTCGGTAATGATTTCGACATGTGGGTAAAAATTATGAATAATATATTGACTTGTATGGTTAGACCCCATTAAAAATCCGATAAATCTGCAATATCTGTCTCTGATTGGATTACTATGGCCTAATTAACTCATATATACTTTTTTTAATATAAATTATATACTTAGAGAGATATTTCAAATTTTAAAAATGATTAAATCCTCCATACTCATCTATAACAAGAGAGCAAAAGAGAAAAAAAAAAAAATCATAAGAACCAGATAACAACCAAAACAAGATCCATATCTTAAATTCTTGGGTTTTTTAGATATTAGTAAATCATAGATACTTTGATGTTAGTCCTTCAATATTCATATTTTGATATTAGTCTCCCAAATTATCTTAATATGTTGGTATCAGTTACTCTAGTTAGTTGCTTTTAAAATGAGTGGAGAATATTTTGTTTTCTCGAACTTTTTTCTTGAATGGACTGTTATATATACCTCCTCCTCCCCTCTGACCTCCTCTCTTCCCTCGACCACCGTCGCTGCCCCCTCTCTACTCTATTGCTCCTGTGAAGGTAGTGGTGATGGTGGAGGAGATGAGAGTACTTGTGGGAGGAGGTTATGGAGGTGGAGGAGATGACAAATGTGGAGATGGAGGAAGCGGCGATGGAAAATACTTGTAGCGAAGGAGATGGAGGTGATAGGGAGTGAGAGAGAGAGAGGAAGGGGTCATAAGTTAATTCCCCAACAATGAATAGTGGTATCCTCATCATGATTTAAAAGAGTTTTAAACTAATTTTGGGCTCTATTACCAAAATATGCAGATATGGTATCCTCAGCATATTAAAATAATTTTGGGCTCTATTACCAAAATATGCAGATTTGGAGGACTAATATCAAAATACCTATCAACATCTCAAGAAAAAAAACCCCCCTAGATTGCTATAGCCTTATGGTGTGTTTGGGAGTTTACGTAGGAAAGAGAAGGAAGGGGAAAGAAGGGGGAAAATTCCCCTTCCTTTCATTCCCCTCAATTACACCCCAATTTGGGGTGTAAAAATTTAAGCCAAATTTCCCCTCTATTCCCCCTCCTCTACCCTCCTAAATGAAACTCCCAAACAAGATTAATGGCTTGTTTGGATTGAGGTGAATGAGGGTGAAGGGAAGTTAGGGGAACCATTCACTTCCATTCACCTTGTTTGGGAACACTTAGAAGGTGAAGTTAATTCACCTTCATTCACCTCCATTCACCCCCTACTAGTATAAAAATTGTTACCCCCCAAATTGGGGTGTAACCAAGGGGAAGGGAACTCCCTTCCCTTCCCTTCTATTCACTTCACTCAGTTTCCCTTAACTTCCCTTCACCCCCTGCAAATCCAAACAGGCCAAATAAAATTTCCCTTCCCTTCCCCCTCTCTCTCCTACATTCAAACAGGCCATTAGTTACACTCGTATACAATCGGGGAGAGATTCCAAATCCACCGCGCTAAGCTCAAAGACGAAAGAGCAAAAAAAAAAGGAGGATAAAATCCACAAGAAACCAGATAAGAAACCAATTAAGTAATAAATTCCAATGGCGGGCGAGCTCGACCCATTCATGGAAACCCAGATCCCCCACCAAAAATTCATCACCGACATCCTTTTCCCTTCAGTCATCACCCCAAACCCATCATCAAGCCTCAACCTCCACCAATTCACAGACTCCATCAAAGCCCACAAAGCCCGGTTCGAGAACCTCCTCCATCGGACCGGGGCGGTTCTATTCAGAGGGTTCCCTGTCCGAACCGCGTCCGACTTCGACCGGACCGTCGAGGCTTTCGGGTTCGGGTTCGAGGAGTTGCCTTACGTGGGCGGTGCGGCTCCTAGGTCGAACGTTGTGGGTCGGGTTTTTACTGCTAACGAATCACCGCCCGACCAGAAGATCCCATTTCACCACGAGATGGCTCAGGTATGGAATCAACGCTTGCAGTGATTATACGGCACTTCATCATTCTTGATAAATTCGATATACATGCTCTTTAGTGTTAATAATAATTTCATATACCCAGACAAGTGGATGCAATAGAAAATGAATGATTACTACTATAGTTCGCACCTATTATTATTTTTATAATTGGTGGAGAGATGTGTTGTTTCACTAGAAAAATTGTCTGCTTTTGCAGGATGTTTTCTCATGTATTTCCTCTGTTTGTAGTTATTTTGTTCTTTTGTTTATTGGGAAACTCCAAAAAAGGGTTTCTGAGAAAGAATTTGGATCCTCTCCACTAGAAAAGAAAAGCAGTGGAAAAGTAACGGAGGGATCACTACTTTTATATTTAAGCCTTTTTCGGGTGGGTGACTACGATTTATTCTAAATTTAGCACTCGCCATACCCCACTTATTGCACTCTAAGAAGCACGGACACGCGGAAATAAGCCCCGAGTCCGTGTCCGACGCGTGCCGGACGCGGACACGCGTCGGACATGTGGTCAACGCCGCCGACACGCGTCAACACACCGACACGCGTGTCAACTCGCTCCCGACACGGCTAGCTCGTTCCTGACATGGCTGAGAAGGCGAAAAAAATAAAAACCCGAAACCCAAACCCAAACCCTAACTTCTTCACTCACCCGATCGGCTGGGATTCGCGAAAAAAAAAGAAAACGCCACCACAATCCTGATCTCTCTCTCTGATCTCAGCTTGTCCTTGTCGTCGTCCTCGTCGACAATCCAATCTCGGCTCGTCCTCGTCCTCGCTCGTCATCTCTCCCTCGATCTCTCGTCGGCTAGGTTAGTGTCTCTCTCTCATTCTTCGACTCTCTCCCTCGACCTCTCTTTCTCTGATTCTTCAGTCTCTCTCCTGATCTCTCTCACTGATTTTTCGTCTCTCTCTCCCGATCTCTCTCTCTGATTCTTTTGTAGGCGTCAAAAATTGCCTATAGATTATCATACGTAGCTCAAGATAGAGAGAAAGCGATAAACGTTATCATCTGAGTTGCATAGGATCATCCAAAGCTAAAGATCAATTAAAGAATGCACAAGAAGTGCATCACGCAAGGTTTGAGACGTAAAAAATGTCTCAGAAGCATAAGAGAAACTCATAGTTTCTGAGACAGTTATAACTGTCTCGAAAACTATGAGGAAGCTTATAGCTTCCGAGACACATACAACTGTCTCGGAAGCATGAAGGGAATCCACAGTTTCCGAGACGGTTGTAACTGTCTCGGAAGCTATAAGGAAGACTATAGATTCCGAGACACTTACAATTGTCTCGGAAGCTAAGGTGATACAGATGATAGTTTTCTCAAGATTCGCGCATGCCACGTGGCTCCATAATTGTTAGAGATCGTGTGTGAACGTGGGGAAGACGTTACAAGCGAAATTTACGTTAATAACTGTCAAAATAATAACATTAATACGTGTTTAAAGCAGTTATAAAAGGACTAAAAGGAAGCATGTTTCCGAGACAGTTGCAATTATCTCGGAAATGGAAAGCCAACCACGCTTTCGAGACAATTACATCTGTCTCGAAAGTGGGAGCCTCCCGACGCGATTTCTTTTCGACTTCTAACTTTAGTTATTATTCCTAAGGGCTATAAATACCCCCTAGGACCATTACTAACGAGGACTGAGCATTTTGGAGCAGATTAAGCGGAGAGATTTGAGCAAATTGGTGAATTCCAAGCAAGAAAGAGAGTCTTCATCACGTGCAAGCCTTTTTTAGAGTTCTTGTGATTCCTTAAGATCTAAGCTTTGATTTGATCTTAAGAAGAGTGTTTATTTTACATCGATAAGAAATTCACTTTCTTTTTTACTTCTAAACGAAGCAAGAATTCCCAAATAGCCTTCACGGTTCAATCTAAATCTATGATTCGATGGTTCACGGGCTAACGTATCTTTGGCACAGGTAAAGATCCCACGCAAGCAGCGAACTATAAACGTTCCTGCGTGTGTTTCTAAGGAGTATTGTAATTTGATTTTTTATTGTAAAGAGTAGTTTTACAAAGCACAAAACTTTCCCTTCTGTATTCATTATAATCGATAAAAAATTATAATGAATTCTACAACAAAACTTGTTCTTGATGCAAACACGCTGGCGATCACAGTGGGAGCTAACAGTCTCGCTGTCGAGACCGTCGTGTCGCAGTCGATCAAGATACCGGTTGAATCCACGATCGAGTACGAACTCAACCAAGCGAAGTTTGAGGAATATCTGTCGTTCACATCCTCAAAGTCTTCCTCGCCTCGCAAATACTGGAAGATTTCATCTTCTAAGAAGGTTTTCAAGTTTTCGACCACGTCGAATGCCACAGGTGAAGACTCGCCCAATTGTTGCTGAGGATTCTACTCGTAACACCTCTGTTCGCGATGACTCTTCTCTAGTTAAGAAGTCATTGAATCAAAGCCCACCGGCACTGACAAAAAGGGCTCGTCAGAGACAACGTCAGCGCCGCGCTCGTCAAATGGCTAAGGCATTGGAACAAACCGACGGGGTCCGCTACTACACAGACTTAGAGTCGAGAAAACATCAAGTGGTCCAGTCACCCCAACGACAAACCACTCGCATCTCTGCTAAACTTACGACGGAGGAATAAACTCTTGTCAATAAGGCTCGTTCGACCCTCAAAGAACGCATACAAAGGCGTCGTACAAACGCTGCTCGTGCTCATGCTCTTTTGCAACAAAGACGAGAAGGAAAGAAGAAAATGGTGTCTAAAGAATCACCAAGAACCAATCAAGTTTGGATTCCCAAATCTGAACTTGTGTAAAAATCAGATCGGCGGGATGCATCCTCCAACCGAAACACTTGTAAGTGTCTCGGCTAAGAGAACTTCACCTGAGACACACATAAGTGTCTCAACCAAAGGGGTTGTGTCCGAGACACTTGTAACTGTCTCGGACAAAGGAGCTGTATCCGAGACACACATAAGTGTCTCGGTCAAAGGGAATCTTCCAGTGCTTCTCCTTCGACTCTATCGACATCTATTCTTGGTTCGTCTACTGCAACCACATCTGCTACGTCACCAGTAAAGCCATGGTTCACTCCTGACCTGTCAAAATTCAAGATCACAATAGCGGATCGCCTCTGTCTTTTACCTGATGATCGAGGCAAAGCTCCAGTCAAAGAACGCTTGGGTCCAGTGAATGAACTCCGAGTAAATTCTTACGCTAGGGTCGTAAATATCCACCTATCAGGACAAAACAATCACAGGAGGAGAAAACTCAGATTTCCTCTCGTTTGGGGCCTATAAAGACTCCATACTCGCAAGGGTGTGGATCTAAACATATAACCTTAGATCGCTCAGAGGCGACAACAAGTCGTCCTGAGTATGTCAATAATGTTCAAATACAAAAACAGAAGATATGTTGCTCTGGTCACCATGCTGATGAGCTATACTATCAAACTAAGCGTGGAAACAAATCACGAAAGAGGACTGTTCGAGAAACAAGTCCTCATTGTGTATGTGAGAGGCTTATTAAAGCAGTGTTGTCTGGATGTAGTTCTAAAACCGTTCCGTCAAGAGTGTTTGTATTCCAGAGACTTTCCACCGAAACGTCAAAGCCCAAGTCGAGACGTTTCCGTAAAAAGCCTACTGTTCAAGAGGATGAATTCTCTGAAATCACTATCAATATGACAGACAGAAGAAGACAATGTGCCACCAATTTCGATCCTGATTTCTCTCTAGGAGGAAGGGTTGGTCGAGGTCTTTCTCAAAAGATGTCACAATTACAGTTAAGAGACAACCGTCGTAGAGATTATAAGAGGATGCATGAAGGAATATCTTCAGAAGATGAACTTTCAGATACTAACTCTGTACTTGCTTCCGATGATACGATGTCTAGTGTAGGACAAGCCAGTGAATCATTTACAATTACACCTGATCAGTTAGCCCAGATGTTACAAGAAGCTTTGGCTAAGCAACAAGAAGAGATCAGAGCTGAAATAAAAACAAAGATGGAGTTGACGATACAACAGATGAGTGATTTACAAGTTTAACAACATCTACAACAATCAGAATTAAGTCAAAAGGCTGAGTCTAGCCGGCGTAATACCATACATGTTCAAATAACTGAGGTTGATAGTGATCAAGAGGTGGATGAAACTATATTTGCTGATCCTCCTCCTAATAAAGATAATTCTGAGGGTGGTCCAGTTAAGTTGCCTATCCAACTTTCTCAAACTCACCCGAAGAAGAATACAAATGAGGATAAGAAAATGAAGGAGCTTGAAAACAAAGTTAATGTTTTGATGGGGGCTCAAGAAGTAAAGAAAACGGGTATTCCGTGCCCGTATCCAAGGGAGTGTGATTCAATTCCTTACCCCTCGAAATTCAGTTGATTAACTTCACTCCTTTTAATGGCAATGGTTCACCCACTCAACATTTGATTTATTTCAAGTCTCATTTGAGTGTAATCTTCGGAAATAAGATTTTGATGGTCCGGTCATTCGTTAGGACCCTTTGTGGGGTCGCCTTCGATTGGTACTGACGTCTTAAGCCTGAAAGTATCAACAGTTGGGATGATATGAAAAGTTTATTCCTTATCAATTTCTTTGACGATGACACCGAGGTATCGATTGGTATTTGTTGGATGAGGAACAGAAAGATGGGGAATTAGTTGATGCCTTCGTCAAACGGTTCCAAAACAAAGCGGTAAATTATCAAGATCCGGTCACCGAAGAGTTCATCCTTCAGACATGCCACAACAATCTTTCTTTGGATGTCCTAGAAGTCATGGGGTTGTATCTTCTAATACTTGAAAAGAATTAAAAATGCGGAGCGAACAAGTTGAATACTTTCTTAAGAGGAAGAAGCTTGAGAGGTCAACCGCCAGCTAATCCTCAAAAGCAAAATTTTAACCCTTGAGATAGAGGAAAGGAGTCTGCGATGGCTGTTGATGCTCACCAAACATCACAATAACTTAATAACAATCACAACAGTCACTTTTTCAGCTGCCACACCAATCACA